CGAAGGCAGGCCCATCTCGAAGCTGCTTTCATTTCCCCCGTATGGAGCACTGAGTTACTTACGTTAAGGTCTTCAGCAGGCTGGCTGCACTCCAGGCTAGGCTAGGGGGGGGATCACTAGACCAGCAGTCCGTACTGATGATCAACCTTCTTTCCCGGAATCGAATGTTCTTCGGAAAGCCTATTGGTATCACGACATGGGAGACCAAAACCTAACTAAAGGTCTCCTTTCTTTCTATAAGCATTCCCCTATCTCTATATCCATTTATCTTTGCTACCTTGAAAGGTAGTCTCGCTTTAGGCGTGGCAGTCGCGAGGCGATACGCTCTTCTAAAAAATGGTCGCATTTAGCTTCCCTAGTGTCAATGGGTATGGGTGTGTACCAGGGCAAAGCCCCCTCATTAGTGTCCTCAAATGAAAAAGCAGACTTTGATCCCGCTAATAAATCTTAAGCCAGGGGCTTGCATTCCCCGACCCTCACCTGTAACTGGCCTAAACCTTGTTGGCATTTTCTTCTTCTTTAGTGATGGGTGTTGATAAAGGGAAGAAACTAATTTCTGGATCTCGTTTTACCCCTTTGGAATCGGATAGTGGTAATATGGTTACAGATTCCTCGGGAAAGACTCAGGACCAACATTTGAGTGATAGTACGCTAGCCCTTCCTTCATCCACGACCGTAAGATTGACAACTCAATAATGTCCTTGACCTTAACCTTCTCGGCCTGCTAGGGTAAGTTCTTCGCTTCTAGAGAGCTCAGCCCTGTGTCAGAAAGAGAGTGAGGGCACATTCCGGCTAAGATGAGTGAAATCCGTTTTTGGCTAAAGTAGCCTTCGTTCCAGTGCCATTTGAGTGAGGAATGAAGTTGCTCGAGTGAAAGGTGAGGAATGAAGTTTCTCAAGGGAAAGGTGTGGAATTCAAGTTGTTTTCCCTCTCCTCCTTGCTCTCTGATGACGATCCAATACATTGCTCCCGAGTCTCATGTAAGACAACTAAATGCACCTCAAGGTGCTGCCAAGGAACTGGGGGACCTTATCGAGCACAGGATAGGCAATTGAGAGATAGAGCTAGTCTATTCGTAATCTTCAAAAAGGAAGGCTAAAAAGGGGGGGGGGGGGGCGTCAGTCTTTTTCCTATAGTTGTCTTCCCAAAAACTGGGTTTAGGAATTGTCCACCTAAGCGCCCTAGGAGCAGTGCCCTCAAAAATAAAAAGAATTGAACTCTACGGAATTTCACTACTTCTCATCTCCTTCCCTTTTCATTGCCCTTGAATCTTTCTATCCTTCGCTCCCCGGTACCGCTTCACCTGCACGCGCTCCGGTCTATCGTTAGCCTTGCCTGACGTACGATATAGTAGTGTCTGTCATCCATTGAAACGGTCCTCTTTTTTATTTTATTTTTTGTTCACCGCGGCACAAAATCATGAAGAAGCTGGAATAACTCAGAAAGATAGTGGCGCCTAGCCGTTGAGTGTTTCTTGTTCCCGTTTGGCCCAATGACTTTAACCCTTGCTGACCTAGCAGCTATTGGAACATTCAGTAATGAGTTCCTTATATTAAAAGGGAAATTTCATATTTCACCTGGCAGAAGTATCACTCGCTATCCTGGTACTGCTCTCTCGTTCCTTCGCTTCTGGCTTCCTATCCGTTAAGTGCTTATCTGATCTTACCCTGGACTGGACCTAAAATGATTCAGAATTAACCATCGCTACGCTGTTCTCAAGGACTAGCAAAATCGAAATAGCGAAATTCTTGGGTCATCTCAATGGGTTAAGAAACTACACGTTTCTCTAGATCATCATAGCGTACTTCCACATATCCACTTAGAGGAAGGTCTTTTCGTAATGGTCCCTGACTAGGACAACATCCTGCCTTCTCCTCTTACTTTGTTCTCTCCTCTCACTTCGCCCTTCGGTCTCATATATTCAAAATCTTCGGGGTGAAAGCAAAACCAAGATATGTATTGGTTGAATCAATCTTGGTATCTGGGTCCCGGACACGCGAGAAGCAAGTTTACCCTTTTTTCTTTAGTAGTTCAACGGACGGTCGCCCCTCCAACAAGAAAAGGTAAAAAGATGGAAACTTCTCTGCCATTTGAATCGGAGAATTTATGGAGGAAATCAGGTTTTAAATTTCCAGAAACCACACGATTATATAGTTTCAATAAGGCTCGCGCTAGGTGCTCCACTTTTTTGGTCGAAAATTTTTCAAATTGGTAAAGATCCACCCCTTGTTTCAGTCAGAATGAGTCCCCGGGACCTCGGGTACCAATTTAAGGCTGCTAACCTTCGCTTCAGTCGGTAGAAAAAGGGAATTTCTCTCTTTTCATAGTGTCGTAGATTTGATCAATAAAAAAATGGTAGGAATCAAGCATGACTCGTAGTTAGCTCCTTTTAACTGGCCTGCTGCGTTGGTAATGGCTGCCCCATCATCGGTATATAGTGCTGCAAAAAAGTCTCGTGCCGCGCTGAGGTTGCTTGAAACAAAAAGCAATATGTTCATAGAAATCTAAGCCCACTTTCTCCCAACATTTTTTATAAAAAGAGCTTGGAAACCATCCTCCCCTGGTGCTTTTAATCCTCCCATATCTATGAACTCCTAAGCCCAATGAACCCGGTGTAACCAGCCCAATCCTGTCTAACCACATCCGGTATAACCACATCTGGTCTAACCACCAAATCCGGTGTAACCACCAGCAGAATACCAACGAATATCCTATCATTGTTATTATTATTATTATTATTATTATTATTATTATTATTATTATTATTAATCCGCGATTGTAATTCTTAGTGCGCAACCGTCAATCCAACCGATTTCAAATTAAGATCGAACCTAAAAGCAAAATACCGGGGTGTTACACACTTCCCTATATGCAAACTACCAATCATGCAAGGGATAGTAAAACTCCCTGGGTCTTTTCGCTTCTCTGGTAGTTTGTTCTGCAGGATGGCAGAATACTCCTCGTTGAGCATCACCGTTGACAACTCCCCAAGCTTCCTCTTGTTGGTGAGGAGATCCTTCATGAACTTGGCATACTTGGGCATCTTCGATAATGCCTACACGAAGGGCATGCTTATGTTTACCTGCTTCAGCATTTCCATGAACTTGGAAACTCAGTCTCCAGTCGGTCTTTGTGTAACCGAGTAAGAAAGGGAAGCTGCGGTACATACTCCTTCACCACTGGTTGCGGTTTAGGAGCACGCACCTCAACCTCCTTCTCCATTTCCTCCTCATTAGCTTGAGTGCTGAAGCAGGGGTCTCTCTCTCTTGTGCCCGAACAGGTGGATCAGCAGTCATCTTGCCACTCCTGGTAGTGATGGCCTTGCAGTACTCATTTGGGTCCTGCGGATGAGGGATGGCCTGACCGAGTAGAGTACTAGGAGTCCTCTGAGCTACAGCCTGGGCCACACACCCAAGCTGGGTCTGGATGTCCCGCAGCACAACCTTCGTGTTTCTCTGGCCAGCTTCTAGCTCCAAGAATTTACCTGAAGCTTTCTCCATGAACTGCTCGATATTATTGAACTTGTTTGCACTGGAGGTGGCCAGAGAACCCACCAGATCTCGCAATTCCGCCGTCGGGTCACTCTGTACTGGGGTTGTGGGTGCTGCCCCTGTCTGATGAAATGGCCACACCTGTGACTGAGGTGGAACTGGCCCTTGTCTAGGAGGGTAGAGAGGCTATTGCGGCTGCTGAAATGCCCTTGTCTGGGCTGGTAAGGAGGTCTCTGGAAGTCTGGTGGTCCCTGGGGGACTGGTGGTCTAGAATTTGCCCCAACCCAGGAGAAGTTGGGATGCTGGCGCCACCCCTCGTTGTAAGTGTTGCTGTAGGGGTCAAAACGCCTGGTCGAAATTTAAGGCCGCCTCTCAAGCCTCTACCTACAAAAGTCGGTGATGACTCACTACTTGGATAAGGTTGTCCCAAGTTGGGCCTTGAATTCGTTTGGGCCGGTACTGGGCTTGGTCTAGTCTTGAACCTGGCTCTCTTTTGGGCCGAATTGGGCTCTATTTTGGGTTGTATTCTGATCATTTACTTTTTCATTTTGTAGGTTTGTGATCTGGTTTGGGCTTAAAGAGAGGAGAAAAGGAGCCCAATGACTTCAATTGATGAGTCGGCCCAGTTTGAAATGGTGTCTCAAACTTCAAATTTTTTTTGTTGTTAGTAGTAACACGCAATCATTGTAATTAGTTTTAGTTCTTGATTTGGTACGTCATTACACATACTTTGTACCATGTGTTAAATTTAACTATAAAGCTTTTGCCTCCATTTAATCTACCACGCCGACATTCGAACCTCAAACTTTGCACTTCTATTATTTTTTCAGAATTGATGTTGAAGATTTGCCATTGCTAATCTTACTATCTCAATTAGTTCGATCTTATGATCTCAACTAATTTGATTTCAGTTAATTATTTGGTGCTCAAGACTTGCCATTGCTAGTGTTAATCAAATCGATGTATTTTATGGTTAATAATCAAATTGAAATTATAATTAAATAAACGTGTCTAAAAATCATTGTTACTTATTGACTTGCTAGTGCAATTTCAACCAATTCTTTTCAAGCATTCTATTTAATTTATCGTTACAATTTTCCTTCTTTTGAGTTTAAATATAGTGGTTGTCCCGGACAAAATGTGGTGTCCACACCTTCCTTGTCGCCTTCCTCGCATTCCTCGAGGGCTTCCGTTCTCCTTTCTTGGGGTTGGTCACTTCCTTGTTGGTATCTTCCTTCTCCATCACTTCATTAGTGGCGAATTCCGGAACCACCTTCACACTTCTCACTTGAAGCGCATTCACCCAGGCATGGTCCTTGGGGTTCACCATAGTTTTGGAAGGTAAATCTACCATATGTCTCTCGGTGAGGAAGTCGAAAAGGTTGTCGATTTGCACCTCCAAGCTTTAAAGGCCCGCTTGATAGCTTTGGAGACCCGCCTCGACCGAGGTAAACTTGGTAGTCGCCACATCCATGAATTGCTCTACCTTCTCAAACTTTTGGCCACTCGTACTCGCAAAGGTGTTCATTAGGTTTTCAAGCTTAGATAATTTGTCAGGTTGTTGTTGTTGAAACCCTAGGGCACCTTATGATCGGTACAGTTGTTGGAAACTTGAGCCTTGGAGTTGGAGCCTTTGTTGGATGAAGGTTGGCCGAGGTTGGAAATTTCCCATGGGGCCTTAGAAACCCGGGGGCCTCGGATTAGTCGGTGATGACCAAGCAAAGTTGGGGTGATTCCTCCATCAGGGGTTATAAGTATTGCTATATGGGTTGTTGACCCTAGCATTTGCCACAAAGTTGACTTGTTCCTCCGGAGTGGTTGCCTCCTTCATTGCTTGGCACTCCGCCATCTCGTGGCTAGTGCTCGAACACCAGTCACACAACATTACCGATCGTTTTCCTTGCCTTTTATCTTCAAGCATAACCTAAAGCACCTTATCCAACTTCGCCTCAAGCGGAGCACTCGCTCCCACGCTTCTCACTCACCTATCATTGCTCCTTCTTCCACTTCTAGTCAACCCCCAATCGTATCCCCTTAGGGCCATGTCTTCAAGTATCTCAGTTATTTGGGGTGGAGCCATATTCATCAATTTCCCTTGACACAAGGAGTGAATGAGAATTTTATCCTCTTGCATTAGGCCTCTGTAGAAGGTTTCGATCCAAAACTGTTCTTCAAACCCGTGGTGAGGGCACTGAAGAAAGTAATCGGAGTACCTCTCCCAACCATCCATCAAGGTCTCATCCTTTTCTTGCTCGAAATGTGTAATCTTCTTTCTCCACTCTGTCGTCTTCGAAGGCGGGCAATAACGAGCCATAAACTTGTTCAGGAGGTTGTCCCATGATGTGATAGACCGAGTTGGGCGGTTGTTTATCCACCTAAGTGCCTTCCCCGAGAGTGAGTAAGGGAAAAGCCTTAGTTGCAAAGCTTCGGCCGGCACACCATTAATTTTCAGTCTCCCAGCGAGCTCCAAGAATCTCTTCACGTGCTCTCTTGGTGACTCGCTCTCAAAGCCGTGGAATAGGGCATTACTTTGTATCATAGTCAGTAGAGCCGAATTGATCTCTAAATTATTTGCCGCCACAGGAGGGTGTAGGATTGGCGATTGAATTTCCGCCGGCCTTGGGGCCATATAGTACCCCATCGTCCGCGGGATTTCCTCCACCCCTGCCACATCGTTTAACTGACGGGCATAAGCCGCATCTTGCCTTTGCATCCCCGCCATTTCCACTACAATGACGGGTTCAACTTCGACTTCTTCAACTCCTTCTTCACTAACACCGGGACCCAATTGTTGTCCCCTCTTTCACTCCTTCTCCTTGCCTCGACTAGCTCTCTCTCCCTTGATAGGAGCCGGAGAGTTCGGTTTATGTCCTCGTCACGTGGTAGCAAAGGTGTCGGGTTTCTCCTGGTCATGCACCACCAACACACAATCGGAAAACACCAAGTCTAGTACAAGCAAAGAACACACACTTGCAAAACTGGAAATTAAAAGCTAGATTAACAACCAACAAATTTTTCAAGATAACAGACCGTCCACCCCTACTTCGGTTGTTGAAATCATTATCTAGCAACAAATTTTTTGTTTAAAGGTTTGCTAATTGAAATGAAAGAAATCAAAGGTAATTGGTTTTGGAAACTCTTTTGTGGAAGGATCACTCGGGTGTCCCTTGTAAGGTATGAACCGTGTATTGTATTGAATTAAGAAGGGGTATATATACCCAAGGATTACAGCACGTATAATTGTAGAATACTACCAGGACTAGGAGAATGAACAATGACTAATACAACGTCAAGGACTACAAGGTAAACTAGAACTAGGAATTATTCCTTCTACGCCCCCCGAAAGATGGAGGCGGCGTCAGCAAGATCCATCTTGGAAGTGAGAAGTCGATAACGTGTAACAGGAAGAGCTTTGGTGAGTAAATCTGCGAGCTGACTAGCACTAGGGAGATGTTGAACGACAAGTTGCTTCGACTGAACAAGCTAACGCACGAAGTGATAGTCCAACGCCAAATGTTTCATACGAGAATGAAAGACGGGGTTGGAACTGAAGTTGACTGCACCAAGTTTATCACAGAAAAGAAGTGCAGCACGGGGCAGCGGATACTGGAGCTCGGAGAAAAGGTTTTGAATCCAGAAAGCTTCAGAAGTAGCAAGTGCAAGAGCCCGATACTCCACCTCTGTACTGGAACGAGCAACAGTACGCTGTTTCTTGGACTTCCAAGAGAGTAAAGTATCACCGAGATAGATGAGAAAGCTAGAAGTCGAGGTATGGTCATCCACATCACCAACCGAGTTAGAGTCGGAGAAGATACGAATAAAAAAAGATGCAGGGACTAACGACGAATCTAAAGACCCACATTGCGCGTACGAGCTATGTAACGCAGGAGCCTCTTGACATGTTGCTAATGTGTCGAGGTAGGAGAATGCATGTACTAAGATAACTTGTTGACGAAGAAAGCAATATCCGGACGAGTAGTGACAAGATATTGAAGCGCTCCTAGCACTTGACGAGCGGTAGAAGCAAGCGGAGTCGAGGCGGGGGCCGCCTCATGCATTTGAAAGCGGGTAAGAAGGTCTGTGACGTACTTGTGCTGTGACAGGAGGAAGCCAGCTAAATTGGGAATGACTTCAATGCCAAGAAAGTAATGCACATGCCCCAAATGCTTGAGCGAGAAGCGATCCGAGAGCTTGGTTTGAAAGGTAGACAAGAATGCGGCATTGTTGCCAGTTAGGAGCAAGTCATTGACGTATATGAGAAAATAAACCAGAACGCCATCATGCGAGTAAACAAAGAGAGAGGCATCAGAGGAGATTTTGACGAAGCCACACGAGAGCAAGAAAGAACTCAGCTCTCATATCAAGCGCGAGGAGCTTGATGAAGGTCATAGATGGCACGTCGTAGTCGACAAACATGATGTGGAAACTTTGGATCCCGGAAACCTGGTGGCTGTGACATGTAAACCTCCTCTTGAAGAGGACCCTGAAGGAACGCATTATTAACATCGTACTGAAAAATAGGCCAATGCGAAGACAAAGCCAAGGTGAACACCGTACGAACTGTGACTGGTTTCGGAACCGAACTGAAAGTCTCATGATAATCCACACCAGCCCGCTGATGAAAACCATTTGCAACAAGAAGACATTTGTGATGCTCAATAGAGCCATCCGGTAACCACTTGACCTTATACACTCAGCGCGAACCGATGACATTATAGTGAGGTAACATGGGAACATGATCCCACGTTTAGTTGGCCAAAAGAGCATTGTGTTAAGTGTGAAGAGCATTGCGCCATACATCATAACGCATGGCCTCCTTGACAGAGCTCGGCTCAAGGGGAGGAGTATCTTGTGAGAAAACAACATTAATATACTTCTTGTTAGGCTTAACAATGTTGTTCTTAGCTCGTGTTGTCATGGGCTGGCAAGGAGCAGGAGCCGGCAGAGAGGCAGGCGGCGAGCTGGTTGAGGCTGATGCAGAGGTGGATGTCGAAGTAGATGCTGACTGATCCAAGGAATGAGAGCTAGAGGGAGGCGTGCCAGACTGCAGGACAGGTGACAAGGGGTGCATGTAAGGAGCTGAAGCACGTTGCCTGCATGGGAGGAACGAAACAGGAGGAGACATAGACGCAAGCCAAGTCATGGAGGTGGACTCAGCAGAATGTGGTGGAGACATAGATAGAACACCGGGGAACTTAGTTTCAAGGAACAGCACGTGACGAGAAAGAAACACACGACCGGACTAAGCATCAAGGCAGCGATAAGCGCTTTGCTGGTGGAAGTAACCAAGAAAAACACAAGGACGAGAACGAGGCTCAAGCTTGTTAGAGCTATAGGGACGCAGCCAAGGGTAACAAAGACAACCAAAGACACGAAGTTTGGAGTAATTAGGAGCTTCTTTGAACAGGACAGTGAAAGGTATTTCACCACGAAGTGACGAAGATGGTAGACGGTGAATGAGATAGACAGTTGTAGTGAAAGCATACGACCAATAAGACAACGGAAGATTAGCTTTATGGAGCAGAGTAATACCGGTCTCAACGATATGTCGATTTTTGCGTTCGGAGAGACCGTTATGCTCAGGGGTATACAGAGGGGTGAGTACATGCGTAATACCATGATCCAAGAGATCAGATTTAAGTTTTTGAAACTCACCCCCCACATACAAGACATCATATTTGAATTCAAGAGGGTAAATCCAAGTATAACGAGTAGAATGATCGACAATAACAAGATAATAAGAGTAAAATGATCGAGCACTAGCCACTTGGAAGAAGGATGACCTAAACGACGATGCCAAGAATCAGGAGAGTGGCGAGTGGTGACAAGGGCGACGCGAACTGCTCCAGAGCCACCAGGAATTTCGTAAGTATCACCTTTGTTCCTTCCGGTCAGCAGGGACGCCCCCGTTCTTAGATCCTTCACATGAAATGAATCAACAAAAAATTCAAGACACAGAATTAGTACGACACAGTTTACCAACTGATATCAGTCGTTGCTTAATAGATGCAACACATAGCACATCACGTAGACTGAGGCATTGATTAGTAGCAGGAAGAGAAGAAGAACCAATACGAGTGATCCGAAAACCTGAACCATCACCAAGATAAATTTCATCGAGGCGATTATAATCAGAGTAAAGTGACAAGTTGCCAAGATTGTTTGTCACATGATGAGTGGCCGCGGAGTCAATGAGCCAGGAGCCTTGAGACGAAGTAGGAGGAGCCGAGGGAGGATGTTGTGTATAGTTGGCCTGCGGTTGTCTTTGGTGAGGAAAGAGCTGAAAACAGGTTTTGGCGCTATGCCCAGGCTTGTCACAGTATTGACAATAGACACGAGGACGACCGCGAGAAGATTCATCATCACTGCGAACAGAGAAGGAGTCCCAAGAAGGCTGGGAAGCAGATGAGGATGAGGAGGTGGGGCTTGGATAGGAGGGCGACCCACGACCAGCGCCCCGGCCAGCAGTACCATCGCGACGCCCGCGACCACGGCAACGTTGAGAATTAAAGGCGGTGGCAGGTGACTCAAGAGACGGACGAGTAGCCCGTAGATCAGCTTCGAGAGCTTGGAGCCGATCAACCAAATCCTCGAGCTTTGGAGGGACATCAAAAGCCCTAATCCCAGCAGAAAATTCAGCGTAGTCGGAGCCAAGACCACGCAAACAAACCGTGACAAGTTCTTCATCACGAATAACTTCTCCACCGAGAGCAAGTTCAGAGGCACGGGAGCGAAGGGCTTGAATATCTGTAGCCACATCGCGATCGCCTTTCTTCTTAGCAAGAAGTCGATCACTGAGAGTCATCACGCAAGAGTAGGAAGTTCCGGCATAGAGATTCTGAAGATTAGTCCAGGCCACGCGAGACGTCTTCGCAGACGAGATAAAGGGATAGATTTCAGCGGTAAAAGAGGTAAAGATGCCATTTAGTAGGAGCTTGTCCTGGCAAAACCAGTGAGTGTAGGGTGGGTTTCGCTAGGGAACATTGTTCATAATAAGATTCTCTATCGGTTGAGGGGTGGAGCCATCCAAGTAGCTGACGAGATCGAGACCATAGAGCAAGGAAAAGAGCTGCGCACGCAAGGACGGGAAGTTTGTTGAGATAAGTTTGAATGGAAACAAAGCAGCTGGATTGAACGTGACCAGATGCGGTGGATCAATGGTGGAGGTAGGCGTAGCAGACGTGGTTGACGACTCGTCGCTCATGTTGACAAAGACAGGCTGAAGACAAGAAGAAAATTAGCTAGGGTGTGGAAATGCCTGCTCTGATACCATGTAAGATATGAACCGTGTATTGTATTGCATTAAGAAGGGGTATATATACCCAAGGATTACAGCACGTACAATTGTAGAATACTGCTAGGACTAGGAGAATGAAAAATGACTAATACAAGGACAAGGACTACAAGGTAAACTAGAACTAGAACTAGGAATTCTTCCTTATATCGCTTCCCACTAACTGTTACCATGATATGTGCATTGGAAAGATTCCTTTGGACACAGTAATTGTGAACTAACTTAACACAATCATTCGTTGACTTACTCCCTCACTCAACTCTAAGGTCGAACGGCTTAATCGCGATTAACCAATTTGCTTAACTCAATATTGAGGGTTGCCCTAACTTAACACAATCATGATGCATAATGCCTCGTTCATTGAATTAAACAATACCCAATGACAATCATCCAATACACATAAAAGAAAACTACATGGTAGAGTTAGGGTTTCACAACACCGAAGTGAAAGGAGGTCTACTCCATGCTAGAAGTGGGGAAAACAAAAGGGAAAGAGATGGAAACCATCTTGGAGGATTCTCCCAGTCTTCTTGGCCCTTGAGTTGAGCTTTCCGTGGAGGAAATCTTCCCAAAATCTTGAAGCAAAACCTTAGCCTTCTTCTTCCCTTGGTTCGTGTTTCTCTGTCTAGAATTCACAAGAAGGCTTCTCTCACAAAATGGGCTCTCCCATCTCTCCCCATTTCAGCTCATCATTTAAACAAGAAACGGGCTGAGTTCACGGTCGTGAACCATGAAATGCGCCCGTGAACTTCAGGCATGCGCCAAAACGCGCCGCATCGTTCACTTCTGTTCACGGTCAACTGCCTTTGTTCACGGTCTTAGAGACCGTGAACTCACCATGCGTCAGTAACCTTCGTTTTGGCTCTGGACGCCTCGCGATTCATGGTA